GCCACAATTAGCTAGCCTTCATTTAGTTGATTATGTTACATTCTCTTCTACTCAGAGCAATACTGAACATCCAATTAAATCATTTTACAGCTAGTTATTAGTTGTTTCGTATTAACACAATCTTGATGATCATCTTCATTTGTGAGCTCGATTTCGGGTTTCTCAATTATGTAAGTCTCCATGAATAGTAATCACCTTTATGGATGTCGGTTCTTTAGAATCTCTGCCTTTTGCACGCACTCTTATTAACTGAAGATCAGATTTGAACTGAATCTATGTGAAGCTATCCCTTATAAAGCAGAACAGGGTTGGATGGAGAGTGCTGGTGGGCGACTTAAGTAATTAAATAAGCGTCCCATATAAAACAAGTGAATAGTAAGAGAGAGAGAGTGAAATATTTAACCTCTGAATGAAATGAATAAGGAATGAACTGTATTAAAAACTCAATAACTGTAAAAGTATTCACCAACAGATGTTGACTCAATAGCTTAATCTTATTAGATGTTCTGCGAAAACTAAAAAGAAAACCGCTGTCAGCGGTATTCACACAATATCTGAAGTGTTTTCCAGATAACTTATGAAATATTGGAAGTAGAACATCTGACTGGCTAATCTAAACGCATTTTTCTGTAAATTAAATGTATAAACATATTGTTTGATTGTATTTACATCCTTAGAATCAGTGTGATATGAGAAGTAATGCTGTCTTATGTTGAAGTTTTATATCCCTGACTGACAATAAATAGACAAACATAAAAGTCAAGAAATAGTGGAAAACTGTTTCATTCAAGTACAAATCAATTAGCAATACATACACACAAAACCTGAAGAAACAAACTCAATATATTGAGGGCTCTTGGAAAGAGCCAGGAACGTTTAGGCCATGCACTTTGAATCCACTGATTTTACATTTCTAACAATATCTAAATAGGAAACCAAAGTTACCTTTGGAAAATAATGATAACTTAGCATGAAAATAATTATATAGACGTATGGCTCAATTTCGTGGAATCGTTGAAGTTAGACATTAACACAGTTAGATTCTGGCTTAGTGGTCTAGAGGTTGAGCATTCGCCCTCGAAACTGGCAGGTTCTGGGTTCGAATCCCCTATGTCAACAACACCTTCATTTCCATCACCCTATTTATGTTCGTGAGCAGAGTATTTCGATACAGCTAGCATATAACTAACACTACCAGGCATCACGTTGATCGATTGATGATGATCTGAATGATGAAAACAGTCAACAGTCTCCACAACCCTATACTGATAATTGTTATGATGTGCTGGTTGACTAGTGACTAGATTGAAGAGGTGATACTCGGAGTTGTAGTGAGTAGCCAGTGGAGGTAATCCGTGTGAGCTGTGAGGTAGTTGGCCACCGAAGACAATGTAAAGTGTTTGGGCAATATCATGGACTGGTTTAAGTGAGAAATTAGTAGTCTAGAGGTTGGGTATTCGTACACAAGGCTGAAAGTCCTGGGTTCGAATCCCGGGGGACGGTATCGTAGATGCACGCTGCTGACGAGTCCCGTAGTAGCACGAAACGAACGTCCAGTGCTTCCAGTTTTTCCATGGTGATCTAGTTTCAATTAACTCATGACCTGAACTATTGAATTACTATATTTGTTGTCACAAAAACAATGTAGAGATTATGATATTCAAATCTATATTAAACATTTTAATATTTAATATGATGGTTTTATTCGAAGGTGAAGTTGCGATTGTTAATGTTGTTGATGATGATTGTTGTTTATTTGATAGTTCAGGAAGCCTGTTATCTAGAATAAGTCAATAAAAAGATAATTGTTTCTATTGTGCATTGTATATTTACGAAAAGTGTATGGAATAATAATGAGAGAAAAAAACAGCAACATATGGTTAGATTAATATAACCTACGAAAAGTTCGATTTTGAACATTGTAAAGAAATCTGTTATTTATTTAAACCCATAAACATTGTTACAAGAAGGCAACAAATAGATATTTGCCACGTAAATCATTTGATTTGTGTGAGATCTGGGAAACGGTCCGGGTACCAAAATCGGAATAGGTAGTTTTCTTAGAAGGACCACATTTGGAGCCTTTGACCTAAAGGTCTGATCCACAAGGCAGTGGAGCAACGTCAGGAGATGCAGTCCCATGATAGCCGGTGACCAGTCATTGATTCATATGCCATTTGTTCCCTCAAGACCCTGGAGCCCATGTGCACCATTGGTTTTGAATCAGGGTTTTCCAACTTCAATAGATGGACTCTCCATGTCCACAAACTCGGTCAAATTGCCGTACATTCGCTTTTCGTCCTCTTAGTTTCGTAAGCAAAACCCCCATCATGAGAAGGCAGTGAGTAGGACTTCCCTTGTAGTGGTTGTATGCACGTTGCCATGTGAGAGTATTTCGTGAGGGAGAGCTGACTTTCCCCACCCTCCACCGTACTAGAGCATTTGCTTTACATTCTATTGTTAAACATATAATCGAAACAGGCAATAAGACTGATCTTAACTCCTCTTTTGTGGTGTTGTACAAAAGTGTAACAGGGATTATACTAAGGTTTATTGAATCTTTAACCATAAAAAAGTTCAAACCCCCTTTATGTATTCAAAAACAGTTTGTTCTTACCTTAAACCTACCCTGATAATATCGGTTTATTATGCAGAAGGATTAGGTTTTAAATTGTATTCACATAGTTCTGATAATCTTCGTCTTTTTATTACACGATCGAAATGTAAAAACAATTTAAAACCGCATCACTTTAGATAATAATAAGCTAATATTATCAGGATAGGTCTATGGGTGAAAACAAACTGGTTTTTATTTTTGAATACACAAAGAGGGTTTGAATTTTCGTATGGCTAAGGCTTCAATAAACATCAATATACTCGCTTTTACACTTTTATACAACACTACAAAATCCGAGTTAAGATCAATCTTATGACCTGTTTCAACTATGTGGCAATAGAGGATGATGGATTTTTATCCTCTACTCCTATAGGGTCATTTGATTCTATTTGTTTCTTCAACCATTTAGGTACATGTTCACACACCCTTATGTTGAGATCACGATTACTTCACCTATTTAAATTGGTGAACACAGTACGATGTGACGGGATCGTTGTTTTGTCTTTTAGGTTCTTGTTGTTTCCTTGATAATGACCTTTGCTGCATAATATATCTTGTTAATGGCTAATTTAAGCCATTGTTTCAATAAAAGGCTATTTAAATCCCCTCTATATGATAAGGTGATGTAGACAAGCTTTATATCTGTCAAAGCTATAGTAGATCGCACTGTGTACAATAAACTATCCATCTATTTATGAATTTATAAGGTTAGTCACTTTCCATTGATATTTTATTTAGTAACTTAATCTCATCATCAATATCATCATTCCTGCCACATAGTTCTGATGATCTTCATCTTCTTATTACATTATTAAAATATAAAAATGTTTTTTTAATAGTTAGTTCACTGATTATAATTAGGTAAATTAAAAGTTCATGACATAGTTCACTTTCAGAAACAAAAACAAAATGGATAAATTCTAGATAATAAACTACTACAATTAATAGTAGTCTATTAGCATGGTATGTGAAAATGATACTTTCAATAATCTTAGATTGTTTGTCATCCGATAAAAACGTTTATTCATAGAAGGATCTCTATTCATGTTATCATTATTATTGAATATGACAAAACTTAAGATTAAAGTATGTATTGCATAGATTTGATTCTTTCATACAGTTTTATGGGATACAGTGGACATCTAGGATGTAGCTGAACGATCTAGACTTTGCCGATGATCTGGCTCTTTTATCTCATGTGCAACAACAAATCCAGGAGCAGCAGCCTCAACAGCAGCAGTGGGTCACAATATACATAAATATAGAACGAAGATTCTCCGATACAATACAGCATGCACCAATCAAATCACACTTGATGGAGAAGATTTGGAAGATGTAAAAACCTTTACATATCTGGGTAGCACCATTGATGAACATGGTGGATCTGATGCAGATGTGAAGGTACAGATCGGCAAAGTAAGAGGAGCGTATTTACAAGTGAAGAACATCTGGAACTCAAAACAAGTGTCCACAATATAACAACAAATTCACAATTTTCAATACAAATGTCAAAACACTTCTACTATATACAATGGAAACTTGGACAACTACCACAACCATCACCCATAATATACAAGTGTTTATTAATAGTTGTCTATGCAAAATACTTTGGATCTGTTGGTCAGACACTATCAGAAACAACCTACTATAGGATAGAACAAACTCTATCTCAGCGGAGAAAGAGATCAGGAAGAGGTGCAGTAGGTAAATAAGATACACATTGAGGAGAGCACCGAACTGCGTCACAATACATGCCCTCATATGGAATCGTCAAGGCCAAATGAGGAGGAGAGTAAGACCAAAGAATACATTAGTTAGAGAAATAGAAACAGATATGAGAATAACGAACGAGAATTGAGTAGAAGTGGAAAGGAATGTTGAGGACGGAGTGTGTTGGAGAACGCTAGTCGGTGGCCTATGTTCCATTGGGAGTAACAGGCGTAAGTAAGTCATACATTTTTAACAGAGATATGAAAAATATTTGTGTTTATGATTGAGATCATGAACCGATTGCTGTCGGACCGACATTGAAATCCTGGAAGCACTGGGTGGCCGTTTCGCCCTATTGTGGGACTCCTTGGCAGTGCGCGTCCACGATCCCGCTAGCGAGAATCGAACCCAGGGCCTTCAGTCTCGCTTAACCTACTGGACTAGTAGTAGTGAATAAATGAACTTCAAATACAGTCGTTACGTTTGACATAGTTTTAAGTTGACGTTTACAAGTTACACAGAACTGTTGAAATAAATTTCATTTGTGGAAGATTACACATCTGTCATTGAGATAGAGACTGTAAGATGTATCATATAGTTTGTCGGCTTTTCTACACTTCAAGGTTTAATTGTTTTAAATAGAAAGTAACATTAGCCATTATTCAATGAATTAATGTTCACGAACATCATACGACAGGGTAGGTAAATATATGATTGATATTATAAACTGTTAGATCCAAGATTTTGGTACTACAGAACTGAATTCAGAACGAGAAGTTAAGATTTATTTTGAATTGCATTTGACTCTACATGTAAACAGTCCTTTCTGTTTTCAATTGACCTGATATCACCAGGTAACAGATACTTATATTAATGAGTGAAAACAACCTGGTTGCAGTCCTCGTGGGTATCATGACTAATGGTTAGAGATATAGAGTAACGTGATTCAGAATCTTTATCTAAGACTCAGGTGCATTCATTCATCATCATCATCATCATCATCATCATCATCATCATCATCATCATCATCATCATCATCATCATCATCATCATCATCATCATCATCATCATCATCATCATCATCATCATCATCATCATCATCATCATCATCATCATCATCATCATCATCATCATCATCATCATCATCATCATCATCATCATCATCATCATCATCATCATCATCATCATCATCATCATCATCATCATCATCATCATCATCATCATCATCATCATCATCATCATCATCATCATCATCATCATCATCATCATCATCATCATCATCATCATCATCATCATCATCATCATCATCATCATCATCATCATCATCATCATCATCATCATCATCATCATCATCATCATCATCATCATCATCATCATCATCATCATCATCATCATCATCATCATCATCATCATCATCATCATCATCATCATCATCATCATCATCATCATCATCATCATCATCATCATCATCATCATCATCATCATCATCATCATCATCATCATCATCATCATCATCATCATCATCATCATCATCATCATCATCATCATCATCATCATCATCATCATCATCATCATCATCATCATCATCATCATCATCATCATCATCATCATCATCATCATCATCATCATCATCATCATCATCATCATCATCATCATCATCATCATCATCATCATCATCATCATCATCATCATCATCATCATCATCATCATCATCATCATCATCATCATCATCATCATCATCATCATCATCATCATCATCATCATCATCATCATCATCATCATCATCATCATCATCATCATCATCATCATCATCATCATCATCATCATCATCATCATCATCATCATCATCATCATCATCATCATCATCATCATCATCATCATCATCATCATCATCATCATCATCATCATCATCATCATCATCATCATCATCATCATCATCATCATCATCATCATCATCATCATCATCATCATCATCATCATCATCATCATCATCATCATCATCATCATCATCATCATCATCATCATCATCATCATCATCATCATCATACCATCATCATCATCATCATCATCATCATCATCATCATCATCATCATCATCATCATCATCATCATCATCATCATCATCATCATCATCATCATCATCATCATCATCATCATCATCATCATCATCATCATCATCATCATCATCATCATCATCATCATCATCATCATCATCATCATCATCATCATCATCATCATCATCATCATCATCATCATCATCATCATCATCATCATCATCATCATCATCATCATCATCATCATCATCATCATCATCATCATCATCATCATCATCATCATCATCATCATCATCATCATCATCATCATCATCATCATCATCATCATCATCATCATCATCATCATCATCATCATCATCATCATCATCATCATCATCATCATCATCATCATCATCATCATCATCATCATCATCATCATCATCATCATCATCATCATCATCATCATCATCATCATCATCATCATCATCATCATCATCATCATCATCATCATCATCATCATCATCATCATCATCATCATCATCATCATCATCATCATCATCATCATCATCATCATCATCATCATCATCATCATCATCATCATCATCATCATCATCATCATCATCATCATCATCATCATCATCATCATCATCATCATCATCATCATCATCATCATCATCATCATCATCATCATCATCATCATCATCATCATCATCATCATCATCATCATCATCATCATCATCATCATCATCATCATCATCATCATCATCATCATCATCATCATCATCATCATCATCATCATCATCATCATCATCATCATCATCATCATCATCATCATCATCATCATCATCATCATCATCATCATCATCATCATCATCATCATCATCATCATCATCATCATCATCATCATCATCATCATCATCATCATCATCATCATCATCATCATCATCATCATCATCATCATCATCATCATCATCATCATCATCATCATCATCATCATCATCATCATCATCATCATCATCATCATCATCATCATCATCATCATCATCATCATCATCATCATCATCATCATCATCATCATCATCATCATCATCATCATTTCATCTAGCTGTGGTGATGGGGTATAGCAATTTGAACAAGCATACTTATGAAACAGATTTTGTGTTGCTTATGACTGACTGACTGACTGACTAATTCATTATTCAAATACAGCTGTATAATACAATATCTTGATTAGAAAGCAAGGGATTATGTACTCGGCTTGAAGCATATCGCTTATGATACTACATAACTTGTGAGACCAAACAAGGTGGATAGTTTATGAATCAAATGAGATTGATTAAAAGCTAAATGCTTTAACCACTGAGCTACCGTTCTAGCATTCATATATTTGTCTGCTCTTTAATTTGAAAGTGACATTTTTGCAAGTATTAATAAATGAATGAAACTTGAAACCATATCAATAGTACGATAAACAACTTTATCAGGGTAATATGTTTCAAGACTTTATCAACTCCAACATGTGGCATCAGTGCTTGAAGACACTAACCTCTAGTCTGAACCATGTTGGTAGATGCAGACTACTTGGTTGGGGTCCGCGTGACTTTCGTAGCCGATGGTTGGAGACTCTTGGTGACATGGCTCAGAATCGGTCACAATGGCGTCGGTGTATACACTCCCTGTCTTCCCTTAAACTAAGAGATTAAAATCGCTCCATATCTTTTTTTTTACGAACTAATTCTATATTCCGGTACTGTATCCTTATATGCTATCTTTCTCCTATATATTACCACCTTTAACCTAACCACTCCTATGAATCCGATGTTCATCTTGCTGTGCTATTGAGGTATGGCAACCTGGACCGATGCATATATGTGCCTGGTCCTACGTTGTAGCTGACTGACTGACTGACAACTCCAACATGAACCCAATTTACACTTCTTCATCTTTTCTTAATTGACTGAAATTTCTGAACTGTACACAATAAAGAATTCATTCTTTTTTCAGAACAAATATACCTACATCTACCTTATGATTCACCGTTTTCAAAAGATCAAGACGGAGTATGCTAAATTTTAAGCACCTAACCTATAAACAAATACCTTTCTTTACATACAACAGTTGTCATGTCATGGTATCATGGAAGCAAGAAACTTTAAAGACATGATTTACATAAAAATGATAGGAGTTTTCGTAAAAGTTAATGATATATGATGTTATTCTCTCACTAGGTATCAACCACACATCTGAAAGATACCATTTAGAAGAATGTGAACTATTAAGATTCGTAACATTATGATCTATTAATATTTTAACTATGAAGACGGTATTTAATTGAAGTTCTTGCAGAACATAATATATATCGAACATGATTGAAAGAATGAGAAATTACATTTCAGTCACAGAGGATCCAACAATTGCTTCACCTCATCACAGAATTTATGTTAAGTATATGAAATTGGAATTAGTTACAACAGTCTCAAACACTTAGAGATGGCTTCTTGTATTTCAATATGTTGAAGTAACTGACATGCATCAACCGTACAATCGGGTGCACTACAGTGAATGTTATATATCTACTACAAACTCTTTCTTTAGCATTTGATATAACTTATTAACAAAACATGGATTAATATAGTCAAACTAAAGTTTGATTTGATTGTTTTCTCTATTTCATGATTATCATATGAGTATCATTGCTTGATGTTATGATCCTGCTTCCTACACAACAGTTCATGTAAATGTGAATATTTTATGTCTGTTAAAGTGGCTACATACTATGGAATATGAGACACAGTCAATTAGGAATAAAAATATAATTTACTATTATAAGCAAAGATGATTCGTGGCTAGCAATGGAAACCAGTTTGATGTGCGTTTCGTCCTATTCGGGATTCGTCAGCCAGATGTATCTGTGAAGGCTGAGATACTGTCTAGGTGCCCAAACTGAAATAGGTGGTTTTCTTAGGGGACCACACTCGAAACCTTTGACCTAAGGGTTTGATCCACAAGGCAGTGGAGCAACATCAGGAGATGCAGGCCCATGATAGCCGGTTACCAATAACTGGTTCATACGCAATTTGTTTGGAATCAGGATTTTCCAACTCCTTTAGTTGAAATCTCTGTGTCAACCATCGTATATTCGCTTTTCGTCCTCTCAATTTCGTAAACAGCAGTAGTGAGTAGGACTTCCCTTGTAGTGGTTGTATGCACGTGGCTATGTGAGATTATTTTGTAGGGGAGTGCTGAATTTCACCACCCTTTGCCGTATCAGAGCCGTACCATGATTCGAACCCAATACCATACGTTTCGAACCCCATCACATTATCCACCTAACTACTGAGAAGATACTAGCAAACAATACTAAGTGAATTAACTATTAGTGTATAGATCAACATACATATTAATGTATCTAATATAACTAAAGATCCTTCTCATAGGTAAGTTCATAAAGAAAAAACGAACAATAATTAATAAACTTCTCATTTTATTTCATTGAACAAGAATAGAATTAATAATATTCATTGTTACCATGTGTTAGTAGTTAGTTATTAGTAGTGAATAAAACAAGCAACAAAACAACAAAACTGAGCAAAAAAAACAACAAATTAGTTTAAAAGTCTAGTTATGTAATATACCCTTATGGGCCAAGGTTATTTTACATTGGTTTTCAAAAGAACCAGGCACCATACAGACTTTCACACGACAACTCAAACAGTACAGCTCTAACCCGGTTTAACAGGAGAGCTAGATACCACCAAGACTTAAATTTCATAATCCAAGCAGTATAGCTCAATCCCGCATCACAGGAGAACCAGACACTGAATAGGCTTTAACTTTATGTTAAAAAGTTTACAATATTTAAATAGGAAATCAATTTAGTCGGTTAATGGTAATTTGAAAGGGAAAAAATTAAAATAATACTGATTTGTTTGTTACATTCTAAATCTGTGAAATCATTTTTATAAAAATTGAACTAGTTACTACACAATATATGAAATGTATATGATGTGTTATTTGCTGGGCAAACTGTACTCTCCCCCCACAAAAGGTAACAGATGTAAGTAAGTAAATAAGTGTAAGAGTTTTATCGATTGTTTGTTTGTTTTTATACAAAGTGTAGATTTATGCGCAAAAAAAAACAACAGAGAAATTAACAGAGGTAAATATCTATGGAATAATGGAACATTTTTATGAATTAACTTTACAATATTGATCATGAGAAATGTAAACAATACACTAGATGTAATATGTATGTGTATACAATGAACTCCTCTATAGTGAAAGTGTGGAACTAATCAATCAACCAATAAACAAAACTCTATTGAATAAACTGAGATGCTTATTTGAATTACCATGAAAGAAGAGATCTATCTATCTATTCATCTATGGATATATATGTCAAATTCGGTAAAATAATAAGAAGAAGAGGACGAAGAGGTTGCCCAACTATCACTAATTCAATGTTAATTCCATTAATTGGAATAAATTTAAAACAAACTCTCCTGTTCATTGTCGTCGCAATTGTCTCCCACAACAGCAGCAACAGCAGCAACAAGAAAAAGAACAAAACAAACATTTTCATCAATATAAAGAACTACTTTATAAATATCCAATGAAAAGAAGTAACCATAATCCAATGATTAATATATAACTTCCAGTTGGCTTTATTCCTTGAAAACAAAACAAAAAGAAAAAGAGAAAGAAAAAGTTTATTCATGGAAAATGAGCATTAAATGATACGTTGTATTTATATGACAAATTGTTGTTGTTGTTGTCTATGTTTTTGATAGAGTTTTGTTCTCTGGGCTGGATAGTTTGATCGTGGAGATTTCAATATTTTTTTGAACGATATCATCAGTTTGAATTTCTTCATATGTAGTATGAAGGAAGTTGAAAACTCCACGATCAAATCATCCAGTTCAGAGAACAAAACTCTATCAAAATCATTCACCTAAACTATAAATCTTCTTCATGATCTCAAAATCATATGTTATCTATGTGTGTACATCGAGAAACAGAGATAGACATGAGAAAAATGAACAAAAATTGGATAGAACTGGAAAGAAAGGACCAGGACAGAGTGGGTTGAAGAATGCTGAAAATGAAAAGTACTAAATGAAACGTTAGAAATGACAACATGTAGACTACTGAATCGGCATCCAACAATTTTAATGTGTAACTTAAGGTTAAGCGTTCGTGTACGAGACCGAAGATTGTGGGTTGAATTCTCATACGCAAGATCATGAATGCACACTGCTGAGCAGTCCCATACTAGGACGAAACGGCTGTACAGTGTTTCCAGTTATTCAGTAGTGGTCTAGCATAAATCAACACATGCATTCAATTACTAAAAATTAGTACAATCTCCATAAACCCCCCATTCTAATAACAATGTCATGTTTGTTTAATCCTTTAACACTGATCGAATTCTATTTCTCAGGTTACAATGCAGACATCAATCTAAATGAATCGAGCTATGTTTCGATTTTAAGTAGTTGATTTACGGTAAATTATATTTCTACACTAGTTCATAACACCAAGTACACATTTCCAGAGAATATTTATGTTTCTCAATTGCATTATCCTTACATCATATGAATGTTAATGTAGATAGGCTTTATTAGCATCATGAAAACACAACCCATTAAACTTTCAATTGTATAATAAAGATGTAAAAACTAATGTTTACGATCTGAAGAGTTTAACATATATATACGTTCTATTGTGGGACTCCTCAACAGATCGCACCTCTCAAGATTTGAACCCAGGACCTGTCAGTCTCACAGGTGAACGCTTAACCTCCAGAATATTCCTCAATTATTACAAAGTATCCCAATTATTTATTCAATTTCACTCAGAACTAGATTTGTTATCTTAGTTCATTAGAGTCATTAGAAATATATTTGCATACTACTTGAGACTTCCGAAATAATCATTAGAATATGCTTTTTGCTACCATAGAGTAAACGTGTTGTTGCTATCATTTTAATAAAAATGTCCTTTTACACAGACTGTTTACAGACTGGTTAAGAATTGGTGACAAATTTATCGTGATTACTTTGAGCACATACCTGTCATGCACCATCATTAAACAATATTTTGAAG